CCTTTGCCACCTGGGACCCAGGAAGGGTCATTTAGGGCTGATGAGTGCTTCAGCCTGAGGCAAAGCAGCATGTCTCTGCCATGAGACCGGGCCTGAAGGAGCATGTCTCCGCGAGGCACCAGTGGAATCATTGGTGCAGGAGAATGCCTCTACCTGTGTATTGATTCGGAACTCTATGTTTCGGATTTTGCTCTGTATCTGCTCTGAAAAAGAAATTAAAGATTCCAAAAAAGGTTGAAACTTCATACTCTGTAAAAAAGTGAACAAAAGAAAGTATAAGATATAGAAATGAAGAAGTGTATAAAAGGTTGTAGAAGTTTTTTGAATGTTGCTGAAAGGCTGTGAGAAGCTGTGAAGATAGAAGAGGGTGTGTAAAAGGTTGTAGAAGTTTGCAAAAGTTTTGGAAAGGAATTATGTGAAGTTAGTAATGGAAGGTATAAAGCATGGAAATGCAATCTTAGTGGATATCAGAAGGGAAAAAGATTTTCCATTATGCTTTGTATTTTTCTCCCTACCTGAACCCTTCAGAATTTGGCATTCTAAAGGATGAGTGATGACATAAGGTTTCTTTGCATAAAACCAATAAGACCAGTCTTTAATAGTGGTTTTGTTAACCAGGACTTTGACTGGAATGTCACGCCTGAAGGAGGCATGTATGGGTTCTGGTCGTTACCAGAAAACCCTGAGGAACTGAGATTGACCTGTGAAGCTAGCGAAAGCCCACAAGAAAAGCCTGGTACTTTAGTTGATTGTGCGGTTCATGCCAGTATTTCTAGGGAAGGAACGAAAGTTGCTTTCCTGAAAGATGGCTAAAAAGGAACCTGTAGACACAATAGAGGCTCAAAGACTTGAGTAAAACAACTGGTACCAGCAAAGCCAGATGGCAGGTGTGTGGCTCTGCTTTTGTGCCCTGAGGGGCGAACTGAGAAGTCAATCTGAAGGTTCCCTGTGTCAGTTCCTGCAAAGTAGACTTAGGGATCATCCGTGATCCAGGCTGCTCTTGGTGTGTTTATGCAAATGAACAGTCAAAATCAAAAGCGGGACCCAAAGTAGTCCCTGTAAATAACAATGAGGGTGATCTTAAGGAGAAAAATTATAATTCAAGGAAAATCACAATGCTCAGTATTGGACATCAGAATGGCGCAGCTAATTGTCTTGAAAGTTTGTTTTCATTTGAAAGTTGAAACCAGGTTTGTGATGTTACCGAAGATGTACAATTTACCGGTGGAAAGGATCTTGCAATGGAATGTCTTCCCAAAAGACAGTCTCAGAGGCGCAGAGACTGGTTTGGGGATTGTTGTGTGAATTAACCTGTGTGTTCTCTGTTTTCATAGAGTGTATGCCTATGACCTGCCTATGCCTGTGAGTGATTGGTTGCAATATAGGCCTCAGAGCTCAGGCCAAGTAGAAAGGATGAATAGAACTCTAAAGGAAACCATAATAAAACTAAAAGAGGAGACCGGCGACAGCTGGGTAGAGCTACCCCCTTTCGCCCTTTTTAGAGTGAGATGCACCCCTTATACTGGATCCTGGACCCCTTATGAGATAATGTTTGGACAACCTGGCCCCATTATCCCCAAACTTTCCAGTGAAGAAATAGCCAGCACAAATCATAACTTCCTTAAGTCCCTCCAGACTTTGCAACAGGTGCGACAGGAGATACGAGTCCTACGTCACCAGCCTCCAGCTGAGACAACCCGATGGCCAGTTCCACCTGAACCGGGACAATGGATCTGGGTCCTTAACCATCGCCGGGGAAGCCTAGAGCCGAGGTGGACTGGCCCCTTCCAGGTCCTGCTCAGCACCCTCTCTGCAGTACGAATAGCAGAGAAGCCCTACTGGATTCACCTATCACACACGAAGCCAGCCCAGCCCCCGGAGGACCACCAAGGAACATGGCGGATCAGCAAAGATCCCGAGCAACCACTAAGACTGAAATTTCTCAAACAGTAAGACTTTTCCTGCTTGTAGTAACTCTGCCCCTAACCCGTGGAGGATTCCAAGCTAGCCCCAAGGACCTCCACGCAGCCCTTTTTGGACCACCCTGTGAGTGTAGAGGAGGAACTCGTACTGACTATGCCATACCCTCCTCCTATACACGGACCACGGATTGTGGAGCCACTGTAGCTTACCTAGCCTATTCTAGAACCTCCACACGAGTCAGCCAGCCCGAATGGGTATGTGTACCAAAGCCTACATGGTTTCCTCCCTCTCTTACTCCCCTTGCTAGGGCCTTTACTAACAGTAATATTAATTTTAACAATAGGACCCATAATATTAAACAAAGTGTTTGGGTTCAGCAAAGACAGAATAGATGCTGTCAAGCTAATGGTCCTATCCCAACCCTACACCATCTTACCCCAAGAAGATGAGTCAATGGTTTGACCACCTCCCCACAGAAAAGGGAGGAGTGTTATACCCAGCTAGGAAAATTACAGCTAGGGCATTACCCAACCCTAAATCTGCAGTTCCTGGAACCGGGTAATGAACAAACATCTGGGAACAATTGGGTTTAAAATTCTAGCCAAATAAGGTAACTAACCCGGGCCCGCCAGAAAGTGCCCGCCAGCAGCAGCACCCACCAATCAGGGACCCTCGCCGTTTTTAAATAAGCCAATAGCTAACCGCCACCTCTGCTTCTGTATGCCTTTGCTTGCTTGCTAGAAAATATAAATACCCAGCAGTCTGTAAGCCAGGCGCGACTTCCATTTTGTAGCTCTGAGTAGCTACGTGACTCCGGTCACAGTTGGGGAAGTTCGCCCCTGTTCAGGAAAAATCTTTGGCCATTAAAATTTTTATCAATTCGGTTCTGGACTCCGAGAGTGTGTATTTACCCACTGATCGTCTACAACACTTACAGCTAGTGGATGATAATATGAACAGTTTTCTCAAAGCAGCAAATAAGGTAAAAACATACTGCTTTCAGGTTCTCATCCAAACAGTAGAAATAAACTCAAAGCAAAGGAAGGAAGCATGATAGGGAGAGCAACTTCCTTCCCCTGCCATTTAAGGTATGCGATCCATCAAAAAGTATTAACTAAAAAGATGCTGTAGTAGCCTGCCCAGGAGGGGAGCTAGCTGGTGAGTCAACAGGATTAGGGAGAGCAAGTAACTAAGTAACTGAGGAGTAAGAACAAAGAAATTCGTATTAACTCCTATCAGCAGTTCCGCTTTCTTGCTTCTGTAAGCTGCTTCCTGCTTTCTCACCAGAAGTAAGGGTTCAAGTGACAGACTGCCCCCCTCACTCTATATAAGCCATTACTCCCCACTGATTGGGGCCCAGAATTTGGAGACTGACTCCTCTGGGTCCTCGCGCGTGAAAACAAACTTCCACTCCGTACACCCGAAAGCGGCTGAGTTGTTTTCTGTAACAATGCTAGATAAAATTTCAATTGGTTTTAAGACTTGGTTCTGTCTTCTGGAAAGGTTAGGATTTGATCTACTTAGTTAACTGAATTAGAAAGTCAGTCAGAAAATCAGGTTTAATAATTATAATCATTGTAGACCTAAAGAGTTTGTTAGATAAAACCAAAAAAAAAAAAAAATCCCCACTGGAGAAACCCCAATACCACTAGAATGGCTACTATAAAAATTTCAACAAACAAACAAAAGCACAAATAAGGAATGGGTAGGAATGTAAATTGTACAGAGGCTATAAAAATGACATGGTGGATTCTCAAAAAATTAAAAATAGAATTCCCATATGATCCAGCAATACTGTAGGAGGGTGCAGCTAGGGCCCCCCCCAAAGAATTTGCAATGGAGCCCAGAACTCAGGGTGTCCAGGAAATATTTAAAAATATGGGATGTCCTCACCCCCGCAAGTCTGAGCTGGGGGGATGGGATACATGGAGCAGGGCCATTGAGTTGTTTTGCATAGCTACAGTTTTGCAAATAACCTCTAGAATGGTCATTTAACACATCTATAACCTTTAACTGGTTTCACAGATATGTTAAATAGCTGTGGCCATGCCTTGAGCCAGGGAGAAGGGAGTGGCTTCCACTCAAGATGTGACTGAGAGGCAACTCCCCAGCCCTCCTTACAGCGCCTGTGTGAGAACTTGAAGACAATTGGCTCTAAGCCAATTGGGGCCATACCTGCCCAGACTCACTATGGTAGCCCAGTAAAGCTGGGAGGATATGGGAGGCCTGGTGGGTGTAGCCGATTGTGGGAGGAGTCGGAAATGGAACTGCAGAGGAAGATCATGGCTGGGATTTAAACTCAGACGCAGCAGCCATTGAAGGGAGAGCCACGCGGTTTTGGCGGAATGAGGACCCCCTCTTGCCCAGGTGAAAGAGAGAGCCATGCGGTTTTGCCAGAGTGGTAATCCCTGCATCCATGTGAAGGAGTACCACTCAGCTGCCAGAATGGGGAAACCCGCTGCCAGGTGCAGAAGAAAACCACGTGCTTTTGGCAGAGTGCAGGATCCTGCAGCTCTGGTAAAAGAGGCCCGTGTGGCTTGGAGATGCTCCCTTTGGCCGAGGGGCGTGGAAAAGCAGGAGAGACTTTGCCTGGAAGAAGGATGAAAGAACTCTTGCCAGTAGGCCATGAGAAGGTGCCACGTGGCTTTGGATTAATTGGAGAGCCTGCCTGGATGATGACACAGCTGACTGGAAACACGGACGTGTGCTTCTTTTCCTGAGATAAGGTACCCCGAATTAGGGCAGGGGGAAATGGAAGCTCTGCGGGCGTCTGTGGGTATCCTAAAGGACTTTGATATTTTTATGGGGACATCGGTCACTACTTTAAGTCTGTATAGCTTAGAATAAACCTTTCCTTTCCCTTTCACAAATCTCTGGCATTGAGAGATGTCTTCCTTCTGATGGCAGACATATGAGCCCAGTAGGTATTATTAGTATACCGTCCTTGGGAGGGACCCCTGTTCTGTCACAGTTTTACAGGAAGCCCAACAAATTTTCAAATTGAGAAAATTCCCATTTAAATAGTCGTGAAGAGGAGTGAAGAAGAGAAATTACAAAACAAAACACACAAAAAAAACCTTGTTTAGGTGTTTCTTCCTCCTTTTTAGTCTCTTCTTCCTCTAAGCTGGGACTTTCCCGGGAAGAGTTGTCTTGCTGGCTGGAGCTTTTCAATAGCACGGGATCGATCTGTGCTTTCAGGAGTGCAAGGGTCTCAGCTAACTCGTTTCGATTTCTAAACAAGGGGAAAAAAAAGACATCATAAGAGCTCTCAGAATAATAATAGAAATTAAAATTTAAAAAGAATAACTGAAACACTGGTACAGCTAAACTGAATTCATTCTGAATTTTAAAATAAGTATAGAAATGCAAATGTATTTAAATATACTATTCTCCAAAGAGGAATCTTACACTATTCTCTGTATTGATTAGAATGGCAATATAAAGGTCTGGCTGAAAAGAATTAATTAGGAACAAATTAAACAACAAAAAGTTTGGTAATTTTAAAAGTACTATGCAATCTCTAAGGAGTACAAAATCAATGTAAAACTTGCTTGAAGTGTCATTTTTTTTTAAAGATTTTTATTTATTTATCTTTAGAGGGAAAGGGAAGGAGAGAGGAGGAGCAACATCAAGGTATGGTTGCCTTTCGTGCGTCCCCTGCTGGGAACTGGCCTGCAGGGAACCGGCCTGCAACCCCAGTATGTGTCCTGACTGGGAATCGAACCTCGATTGTCTGGTTCCCAGGCCGCACTCAATCCACTGAGCTATACCAGCCAGGGCTGTAGTGTCATTTTTTTTAAAGAATGATTCAAGTTCTTGATTCACTGGAAATAAGAACTCTTTTCCACCTAAAGAGACAACAACATTTGATATTGTTACGGAATTATGATCCAGGGCTTTCTGAGTAATTATGGCAGAGAGTCAGCTGTAATAACACATTTTGAAAAAACTAAGAATTTAGGTTACTGATGTTGTTTTATTAATTATAGTTACAACCACAGCAACGGAATTCATTTTGAATCAAAAATACAAGAAAATCCCAAATAAGACTCTAACCTACATATTCTCTATTTCTTAAATATCTTAAAAGAATTTTCTTTATTCTTAGAGAAGAGAAGGGAGAAAGAAGAAGAGAAACATCAGTGTGTGGCTGCCTCTCATCTGCCCCCCACCGGGGATCTGGCCCAAAACCCAGGCATGCACCTTGATTAAGAACAGAACAGGTGACCTTTTGGTTTGCAAGCTACTGGTTCAATCCACTGAGCCATACCAGCCAGGGCCATATTCTCTATTTTTACTACCAAAACTGGAGGTGTGCTATGTTCAACTTAATGACAATTACAAACAAGAAAACTCAGTTGGGTATTTTTCCTGTTCAAATTGGCAGCGTGCAATAGTGAAGATAAAAAAGAAACCCTGGACAAAGAGTTGGAAAACTTAGTTCTTTTTCTGCCACTAAATTAATTAATCAGTACCATGAGCTTCCCATCTGTGTTCTCAAAGGATTCTGTATACACTTCTAATTCTGTACAATTACTACTAAGATGAAATCACCTGTTTTTGTACCTGTCGTGAAACACACACACCCTGGTCCTTCCCATCCCTTTCCACCTTCATTCCAGCTAAACTCTACTGCTTGAGAGGAGGGGCACTGACCCACGAGGTAGGCTCTAACAAATGTTTAATAAATGAATAAAATCCCTGTTCCTAACTAGATGGCTATGTGCCCCTAGGCAGGTCATCTATCTATCTACCTTCCACTAGGCCTCAGCTTCCTTATCTATAAAATAAGACTGGATTCCCTCGAGTATTATTAAATTGGTTTTCTAAGGAAAGTTAATGAAATTTGCACTGATGGACATGCTCCAGAAATTAAAATGGCAACCATTTTGCCCTTGTGTATGGGACTAAACACTCAGATTCATACATAATATAAATATCAGTATACCTAATAAAATGAACAGTTTAGAATTTTAATTCTCTAATACTAGAAGGTCAGATTAAATGCTCTTGAAGGTCCTGTCTGTAATTCGTCCACTATACAAAAAGATTAAAACCTAATTACACAAAATAAATTTATTTTTGGCAATGTTCCTACCTCAACTTTATTATACTAACCTGCTTCTAACCTGAGGCTCTAGCCACTTAATGTTATTACTTCTCATATTTCATTGAGAATTTCATATGTAGTAAGTGCCCAAACCTATTATTTTTTCACTCATGCTGGGAAATGCAGAATATATTGAAGTTTTTCACAATACCTATTTCAAAAAGCTTCCAAACATTAGAAGAAAACCAATATTGCTAGAAAATCCAGGTGAATTATTTCCACTACTCTAAGCAATAAAGTTAGCAGAAATATTTATTAAGAACTTCCTAAAAGGCTTTTAACCTGACTACTGTATTAAAATACAAGCCTAATGCAGTCATTATTATATGAACACAAAATCCATCCATTTGGATTTTGCCTTTTTTAAAAAGATTTTATTAATTTACTTTTAGAGATAGGAGAAAGCAGGGAGAAAGGGAAAGAAACTTCAATGTGTGGTTGCCTGTCATGTGGCCCCCACTGGGGACCTGGCCTGCAACAGAGGCATGTGCCCTGACTGGGAATCAAACTGGCAACTCCCTGGTTCCCAGCCCGCGCTCAATCTACTGAGCCATACCAGACAGGGCTGGATTTTGCCTATTTTAACATGACAATTACACTTACTATGCAACGTAGCTTTTTAAAAGTCTTAAATTTGGTCCTGATCAGTGTGGCTGAGTTGGGTATCATCCTGAAAAGTGAAGGGTTGCTGGTTTGATTCCCAGTCAGGGAACATGTGTAAGTTATGGATTCAGTACCCTGTCAGGGCACGTACAAGAGGCAACTGATCACTGTTGCTCTCTCTTTCCCTCTCTAAAAAATATTTTTAAAAAGTCATAAATTTGAACCAGTCAAGGAATTTTTATAAATGCACATATATGCAAATTATATGAATCTTTTTACAATTATCCATAGGAAGTTTTAGAGTAGACTACTGACTCTAAAAACTAGTGTTGCTTTTCCCTCCCTTCCTCCATTGTGCTCTTTTCTCTTAAAACATTTCTTCACTAAGACATATTAAAAACAGTTACACCCCTCCAAAGTACCATGCTCCATTATGTCAGGAGTATGCACTTCTGTTCTCTCAGCCTGGAATGTGTTCCCCCTGGCTAACTCAAATTACTCTTTCAAAGACAAGGGTAGTATGAATTAACAAATGCAGTATATCCATCCAAGGGACTATTATGTACCTACAAAAAGGAATGAAGTACTGATTCTTAGTAAACACATGAATGCTGAAAACACTGTGCTATCTGAAAGAAGCCAGACACAGAGATCACATGTTGTATGAAACTATACATATGAAACATCTGGAATAGGCCAATTACAGAAACAAAAAGTAGGCTAGTGGCTGCCGTGGGCTGGAAACAGGAGAATGAGGAACAACTGCTAGTGTTTCTTTGTGGGGTGAGAAAAATATCCCGGAGTTATGGTGGTGATGGCCATACAACTTTGTGAATATCCTAAAAATTACTGAACTGTATTTTAAAAATATGGTTCATGCATACAGATAGCACAGTGCAGATATCTTCCTTCAGATAGCACAGTGTTCACAAAGTTCATGTGTTTAAAGATGTCCTGGAAGGTCCTAAGCCTCTCCTCATTTTTTTGAATTCTTGTTTTTTCATTTTCTTCTGTTCTGGTCCACTACCTTGATTTGAGTCCCAGTTTCCTTTCCATCACTATTGGTTTCCTGTGCATTTCCCTGCATTTCAATTACTTTAGCCTTCACTTGTTCCTCTAATTTGTAACTAAAACCAATCAGTTCTGTGAGCATCCTGATCACCAGTGTTTTTAACTGTGCATCTGAAAGTTTTCTTGGTCACTTAGAGTTATGGGTTCTGGGGCTTGAGTTCTTCTTGAGCCATGTTTTGATCTGTTCGCGCCTGTTACATATGAGCAGAGGAGCCGTAGGCGTTCACCAGGGCGGGGCCACCCAGGTCGCTGGGTTGTGATGCTATATGTGGGGGTGGGGTCCAAGAGGGGCAACGGAGGTCCCCTCTGCTGCTTCCTGCCGCTGGGGCTTGCATGGTCTGTCTCAATGCTCTGCTCTCTCCTTCGCTGATTTACCTGCAGCGAATGTGTGACTGCGGTCAGCCATCCGCCTTGCGCCCTCACTGGGTCTGACCCGTCACAACCCCACGCCTGGGATCCACCAACCACCACCCTTGCGCCTGGGTTGGTCTGGTCGAGTTTTCCTGCGCAACCCCGCTCCGCCAGCCTCTGGCTCCACCAGTTTGTTGTTGTCAGACTTCAGTATAGTTCAATTTTCTGTATTTTGGCTGCCTTTTTTTATTACTAAAACTTTGTTGTCTTTAAACTTGGTTGTGCTAGAAGGCACAATGTTTCCACCTACACCTCCATCTTCGCAGAAGTCTAGAAATGTCTTGACAGTGTTTATAATTATAAGTATATGAAAATTACACTCTTTAGAATTTGGTTTTTTTTAAATGTCAATTACAAACTTAAAAAGTATTTTTGAAGTATAATCTACATACTTCGAAATGAATGTATATTAAGCATTTAGTTCATCAAATGCAGTTTTGACAAATGCATATACCCATGTAATACATATCTCTATCAAGATAAGGAATATTACTACCAGAACAGAAAATTCCCTCCTGTTCTGTCCTACTCAGTCCCTCACCTCCACAAAAAGAAGAAATGAGATCAGTTTAGCTAATTCCAAAATGATAATAAATGGAATCAAACAATGTGAACTTTTGAGCTTCTTTCATGAAGCATAATGCCTTTGAGACAAATACCTGTAGTTGCAGGCATCCTAGGTCATTTCTTTTTACTGCTTAGTAGCAATACATGTATGAAATCTATTATAAATAAAGAAGCTATGAATACTGTTACAGAAGACTTTTTGTAAATACATTTCCACTTCTCTAAGGCTGGGTTATGCAGTAACAGTTTAACACATGAAGAATCTGCCAAACTGTCACCTAAAGTGGTTATACCTTTTATACATATGGTTTTTTATTTATTTTATTTATTTATCTTCAGAGGAGAAGGGAAGGACAGAAATATCAATGTATGGTTGCCCCTCATGCGTCCCCCACTGGGAACTGGCCTGCAACCCAGGCATGTGCCCTGACTGGGAATCGAACCGCCATCCTTCGGTTCACAGGCCCGTGCTCAATCCACTGAGCTACACCAGCCAGGGCTGGTTATACCTTTTAACATACCTATCAGCAAGGTAAGAGAGTTCAGGTTAATCCACATTCTTACTAACATTTGGTGTTGTAAGTTATTTTTGTTTTACTTATTCTAGTGGAGGTAGCGTGGTATCTTGGAAAGGAAGAGAATATACCACCTCCAAATGTATCATTTTGGAAAATTATTTTAAATTAAAATGACACGAGAAATAGCTGGTGCCAGAACAACACTCTGACAGTGCTGTGTGCCCCTGAAAGGAAGAAATAAACCTCCCATGTGAATGAAGGTTCCTTGCCCACACAAAGGGTCCTTATCACCAGGGAGGGAATCCAGGCGGCAGAGGCTGTGGAAAGAAGCCTAGTTACTTCCTCACTGATTCACCACCTCGGGCCCAAACTTCTTTGTCTTGTCAGCTGTTCACAAGTATATTGTTTCTTTCTCTAAAACATAAAACTTCCTTGATTTGGTTACTTTTTTGAGCCTCATATCTCATACTTGGGGTCTGGTAAACAAAAAGGTTAAATGTGCCCCCCTTCTACTCATGTCTTATGTGAACTTAATTATTAGACCATCCAGAGAACCCAGGAGGGAAAAAGGAAAAGTTTTCCTCCTCTAAAATCTCATTATGATAAAAATTGAGAATTTTCTGATGAATAATACTTTTTCATGTGAATATTAGCCTTAGGTTTCTGTCTATAAAGTAACAGTGAGACAGTCTGCGTACAATTTCATCTTCCTTAGCAGACTCCACATAAAAGCACTTTAGGAGATGCTCTCTAACCTTGAAGAATCGCCTAATAGAGTCTGATCTAAGATTTGCTAAAATTCTCTCATAATTAATATTAATAACCATATACTACCACTTTGTGGTGTTCACAATTTTTCCTTATCTTTTTTATTCTTAATAAAAGAATTCTCTTGATATAGCTTTGGTGTACATTAATTATCACTTTTACAATGTTATTTGATCAGATATAAAAAATACTTTTCTGTACTTTCATTTAGACCTAAAATAGAGATGAAATAGCTGTAATAAATACTACTCTTCCATGGCAATTATTATTTGAACATTAAGTAGAATAACTGGACACTGGATACAGCTTAAATATTTTCGGTTTTGAAACCTATTAGACACTTACTTAAACTATAACAAAACTACAATAACTATGTATGGTGCCACTTGGGAAATATCAAGGGGACTTTAGATGATTGTCTAACCACTAAGAGAAGTACATCTGAAAGTAATACAAAATAAAACTGAAAGGGAAAAAAAAAACCCATACAAAATTACCATTTTTAAAGGTTAAACATCATAAACAAATACTGTCAATTTCATATGGTTCAGTGAAATTTGGCTAGTTTTACTCTTTTGCAAGTAACTAAATTTTTTTTGCTAGTTTTTAAAAAAGATTTATTTATTTATTTATTTATTTATTTATCTTTAAAGGGGAATGGAAGGAGAGAGGGAGAGAAATATCAATGTATGGTTGCCTCTTGTGTGTCCCCTTCTGGGAACTGGCCTACAACCCAGGCATGTGCCCTGACTGGGAATTGAACCTTGATCCTCTGGTTCGCAGTCCTGTGCTCAATCCACTGAGCTATACCAGGCAGACACAATTAACTAAATTGTATTTACCCTTAAAATACCATTACTTATCGTGAATACTTCCTAATCTATCCACCGCATATATATTTATATTATAAATTTTACAAGAGATAGAAATGGAAATGGCTGTTTAATAAATGTTTTAAGACTTTTTTTAGAGTAGTTTTATGTTCACAGCAAACTGACAGGAAGATACAGAATTTTCACCTATTTGTATAATAGGGGAAACTCACAGGAAGATACAGAATTTTCCCCTATTTGTATAATAGGGATTTGTATAACCCCTATTATACAAATTTATATTCACAATATAAATTTATTAGTTTAATGAAATAAGAAAAACATTAGCGTGACAAGCAGATGTTTAGAATTTGGCTTTAAATAATGCTACATAACTGGGAAAAGTTGCTGGGCATGTTGCCTACAGGAATTCACATGTTCATAAATGTTCTACAAAAAGGCTAAGTAACTTGGCACCAAGTTCTCCAAAAGAAATTTGTGATTGTTAACATGACAAAAGTGCGTTCCAATATTCTATATAAGCATTTGCTTCTGAACAAATGCCACCTGTACCATTTTATGTTTATCATAACAGATTTTTTGTACATGGAAAGATGATTTTTTTAAAAAAGGCAGACAGGGAATAAAACCTGGAAGAACGATCAAGGACGAGAAGAGGTAAAAGACATATCAATGGAATTTTGCCCTTTCCTCTTTTTTGCTGATGAATATTTCTTCTATGAAAAAAGTATTTCAATTTTGGAGTTAGAAATGTAAGAAATGCCAATAGTTAATAAGATTGGGAGAAATGATACAGATTTTTACTGATCATTAGCTATATAGTGCTAGTATAATTTCTCATATATTTCTCACAACATGTATATTGGGGAAGTGTTATCACCCTCACTTTAAAGTGCAGGAAAAGAGTATAGAAAAACTACCAGTAAGTCATCGACCTACCAAAGGTAAACAGAGAAACACAGCACATATTCAAACATGCTTGTTAATTCTAAAATCTATGCTCTTTCTCTCACATCATGCATTAGGGTACAATATACTTAAAACAGTGTACGAGATATTTTGGCATGTATGACTAATCAATAATAATTATTTTTGTCATATTTTCATCATCTACAAAGTATGAAAAAGTATCTCTTAAACAAATATGCAAGGATATTTGTGTATTTGATATAGGAAATAACAGAACTGGCGGTAAAACATCATGAACAGAACCTCACTCAGTTTATTCACAGTGAGAGATGATGAGCAAATTTTATTTGAGGACTGTTTTGTTTATTTCCATTTAGTAAATTAACCACATGAGTACCATATTATAATATGAAAAAAAAGGGTGCTTATAAACAGTCACCCATGAGTTCATTAAATTCACTTTTATTCTTAGGAATGAAAGTTGAGCTTCCATGACCCAAACAAATATTCTAAATTTCTATGGGTTGTTGCTTCAAAACTTTAGTAAATAATCACTGAATTCTAAATAAATAAATAAATTTTCATTTATCACTAAATAAAAATCTGCTAAATTCCAAATAAGAAAATAGAGATGGGTTAAAAACAACAGTATTTCATAAGCCAATTGTTACATATCTATTAATTCTCCCTACTTTAGTTATAAATCCTGATACTTTCTAAATTAATAAAAACTGTATTAATAATGAAAGAAATTCTATATAAGTTGTAAAACAGAATATCAGAGACACAAAGATTCTGAATAACAGCCTCTGTCATTTGTTGATTTTTTAAGTTATATTTCAAGGTTTTACATTAAATGTTTCCATTCAAATAAATCTGTTAATACAAAGAAGAAACTTAAGATTTTTTAAAAAGATTATAACAAATAATTACAACATTCCAGAGATTTCTTTAGAACTCCAGTAAAAAAAAATACACACACAGTAAAACTAAATATACTAAAGCATCAAGATGAACTGACCAAGTTAAAATAATTAGGAATAAACAGAAAGTCCTAATAGAAAACTACTATCTAAATGAGAACCAAATGATTTTTTTAAATATTTCTGTCTAACAATGGGTTTTTAGACAAAGTACATATTATCAATGATTACTTGTTAGATTGTGACTTCCTGAAGTACAAAATATATATTCTGATATGGACCACATTGCTTAATGTATTTATTTATCTGACAAATAAAGAATTAAGTGCCTGTTATGGGTATTGTGCTGGGCTAGGTCCTAGAAATCTCCCAACCCCACAAAAATAGAACTGCATCGGCCTCAGAGATCATATCTAAGTAGAGGAAATCACAGTAAGCAAAATACAAGTAAATGTAAAAAGATTCTAATACAGGATACCTGACAATGCATTTCCATGATGAGCCATCTTGATCATCTTGTTCTTCTATGTACATTCTGACATTGTGATCTTGATCCAGCTGGTACCAGTACATGAGGCCATCTTTGTCTCGGCCAATTGGCTGCAGACGCATGGTATCAGCATCTTCCTCATTAATAATATTCTTGAATTTGAGATTGTCATCAAACTGACACTCACAGAGGTACTGGAAAATAGTCAGAGCATCGCTTAAAATACCCCACCATAAATGTTCCTCCATTATAGTAAGTGTGATATGTTCAACCACAGAACTGATTCAGGAACAGAAGCAAAGAGAACACATACAATTTATTAATCTTCCACTATCCTCCCCCATTTTACAACCTGCTTAGAACAACCAATTTAAAAAGATAAATTTTAAGTTAACATTTTATTTTAGTATTACATAAATTTACAGGTTTCACACAGCCAATAACACAAAACTCAAGTTATATTTCAAAAGTAGTGAGTCTGTAGTAAGTCACCCAGATTGTCTCATCACATAAAATTTTCAATGATTCTAAGTTTTTTAACGAACAGTATTCTCAAAATGTTTACCTGTTTTTGAAAGCCTGAGATATATGCGGTTTTCAAGAAATGTAGTCTCACTGATAGCTATTTCTAGAGAACTATCTTAATAAAAAGATATCCACATGACTAAATGAGGAACTGAATGGACTTTTTGTTATACATTTCTACATATGATTAGGGGAGAAAGTCAGTTTTCTTCCCTGAGCCTCTCTGCCCAGGCAAATAATACTTGAAGTTCCTACCAGTCTCTGTCTTTGCCTGTGTTATCTAGCCCAGTAGTCTCTCTTCTGTGAAAAGTATGTTTGTCCTTCATTACGCTGGCCACCTTGCTTACAGTAGGGCCAACACTCTGAAATGGGTAGGAAGAAAAAAGGAAACTCACATTTGAAAATAAATCTACTTTGAGGAGACCTTATTCTAATCTAGTTGCTTTGCTTATGTGACATGCCCCTAGTCATCTGAAAACTATCAAATGGCTAATTTAGTAAATCAGATTAAGCACAGTATGCAGTATGTGTTAGCAATGACTATGAAAGCTGAAAATGATGAATAAAATTAATTTGAGGAAACTGCCCATTCTACCGCAGTTCCTATAAGCACAGATCATTAAATTTAGTTATCTGTATATTAAAACACAATCAAAAGCAGTAATTTAAAGAATGGACCGTTTCTCCCCTGGTCAGGTAGCTCAGTTGGATAGCACACTGTCCCCATACACCAAGGTTGTGGTTTGATCTCCGGTCAGTCAGGGCACATAAAACAAGCAACCAATGAATGCATAAATAAACAGAATAACAAATCGATGTTTCTTTCTCTCCCCCCTTCTCTCGCTCTCTAAAGTCAATAAAAAATAAAATAATAAATAAATAAAGAGTAGACTGTTCTGTCATCAAAAAGATAAGAAAATCTATCATTTCTCAATAACAATAGAAATGTCTACTTTCCAGTTATTTTCCCAACTCAACCAAGAGTCAAAAGTGAATTTTTTAATTAAAATAATTGTAACAAATAATAAACTTATTACCTTTAGCAGTGCTAATTTGCATTCAACACTCATTTCAAGATAGCCTTTCTTCTCCATTTCCCATGCCCAGGTGCTATTAAATTCTTGACATATCTGTTAGAGAAAGTTAGTGTCTTAATACATAGTTTTATTTATATAGATAATTTTGTTGTATAATTACACTAACTGTTCTTGAGAATATATTTATAAAGAAAAAAGTTTGTAACAATCTAATCCAATTCTACCCTAAAATGCATACTACTGAAATATACCAGAAGTGTTTATTATTGACTGCTGACTGAATTTAAGTACTGATCTCTGCAGATCTCTCCTCTGCTCTCGAAAATTTTATACACATTTTTATAGTACATTCTCCCAAATGCAAGTAATTGCAGAGACAATCCTTTTTATTATCGATTCCCACTCTCCATATGGACTGGAAGTTCCTAGAGGTCAAGCACAATAGAGTAGTCATCTCTATGGTGACAAGATAAGTGTATTAAAAAACATGCCAAATTTTAAATATATTTTAAATCAAACAATTCTCTATCTTAATGTTCTCTTATTTATGAGTAAAGGTGTCACTCTGTGGCATTCGAGACCTTCCGTCATACAGCATAAACTTAGCAGAGTTTATAAACTTAGAAAGCAGAGCCACCTAACCAGCTCAGGAAAGGAGATCTGGGTAACCCCTGTACTCAGTGACTGGAGGGGGAGGGGGGAACTCAGGAGAAATGCATGGGTTCTATCACCTCTGCGACCCAGTTTCTTCAGCAATAAAAGAGGAGCAAGAATAACACTGATCTTAATTAAAGGCTATGAACTATGCATGAGAAAAATGACATAAAGTAGCTAGCCACTTCAATAAAATCTGTCTTGGTCGCCTTAGTGTCTGGCTTTATTTATCTTTGACAGGGGGAGTCCTTGGATATCATTTGGATAGAAATTTTTATTTTACAAGTGAGAAACATGGAATTTAGAGATTTATTTATCCAGTGAGTTCACAAATATTTACTGAGTGCTTACCCTACGGCAGGAGCTAGTGTGGGGGAAGACAGACAACCTGCCATTGTGAAGCTTACGTTCAGAGAGGTGTCCAACAGGTAAACATTTAAACATTTCAAGTAGAGACAAATACTATGTTGAAAATAAAATAATGTGATAATTTGAGTGCTATTTTGCATTGGGTGCTGAGGGAAAACCTCATTTTAAAAGTTGGCATTTGACACAAAAAGCTGAGACAGAACACAGAAATGAGCCACAAGAGTGTCTGAAGTAGTAATGTTACTACTCCAGGCAGAAGACACAACCTAGCAAAAAAGCCTTTAGGTTTGGCATATTAGAAAAACAATAAAGATTAGTCAGTGTAAATGAAGTAGATATAATGAGGAAAGTAGCAGCAGATAAGGTTAAAAAGGTAACCAAGGGCCAAATTATACAGGCCAGGGTAAAGAATTGAAATTTTATTTCAAATATGATGGGAGGCTAATGAAAGATTTTAAATGCAGGAATTTATGATTTATGTTTCAAAAATGGCTGCTGTGTAAAAATTGGATTGAGGAGAACTAATCGAAACTAAAAAACCAGTTTTAAGGTAAGAGATAATGACGGTATGAACTATATGCTGGCAGGAGAACAGAAAGGAGTAGGCAGTTTTATTTTGGAAGTAGAATCATCAGGACTTTTGACAGAACAGATGCTGATGGAGGGTGACTGGAAAGAAAACCCAAAGGGGACACCTAATTACCTTGGCTTGCACAAAAGGAAAAAATAAAAGCATTTTGACTATAGTATTAAAAAAATAACCGAGAGAAGGGAGTTAACAAGAGATCTGTTTTGTACCTAACGAGCTTGAGGCATTTATTAGACAACTAAGTGCCTTGCTCAAAGTTGCTGAGACTCCTGAGTCAGATCTTTCCGCGAGATCTTTCCAAATCTAAGCCAAGAACAACTTTATGGTGGAGCACTGACAGGTCAAAGGCTGTGTCTGTGACACAATATGAGACATACAGCAAATACAAAACACCTAAGGCTCCGCCCCTCACATGTAACAGGCACAAACAGACCAAAACATTATGGCTCAAGAAGAACAGCTCAAAGTCCCAGAGACAATCCTAAGCAACCAAGAGACAGCCAACCTATCAGATGCACAGTTCAAAACAGTGGAACTGCTTGATTTTAGTCACAAATTAGAAGAACAAATGAAGGCTAAACTAAATGAAATGAAGGGAAATGCACAGGAAACCAATAGTGATGGAAAGGAAACTGGGTCTCAAATCAAGGGAGTGGACCAGAAGGAGGAAAAAAATGACCAAACATAAGAAAATGAAAAAACAAGAATTCAAAAAATGAGGAGAGGCTTAGGAACCTCTAGGACATCTTTAAATGTTCCAACATCTGAATTATAGGGGTACCAGAAGGGGAAGAGGAAGAGCAACAAGTGGAAACCTTATTTGAACAAATAATAAACAAGAACTTCCCCAATGTGGCAAAGGAAATAGACTTCCAGGAAATCCAGGAAGCTCAGAGAGTCCCAAAGAACATGGACCCAAGAAGGAACACACCAAGGCACATCATAATTACATTAGCCAAGATTAAAATGAAGGAGAGAATCCTAGAAACAGCAAGAGATAAGGGGACAGTCACCTACAAAGTAGTTCCCATCAGACTGTCAATGGATTTCTCAAAAGAGACCTTACAGGCAAGAAGGGGCTGGAAAGAGGTATTCCAAGTCATGAAATCCAAAAACCTACAACCAAGGTTGCTCTATCCAGCAAAGCTTTCATTTAGAATAGAAGGGCAGATAAAGCGCTTCTCAGATAAGGTCAAATTCAAGGAGTTTATCATCACCCAGCCCTTATTATATGAAATGCTAAAAGGACTTACCTAAGAAAAAGAAGATAAAAAAGATGAACAGTGAAAGGACACCAAATTCACAGTTATTAACAACCACACCTAAACCAAAAGCAAACTAAGAGGACAGCTAGATCAGGAGTGGAACCATAGAAATGAAGATCACATGGAGGGTTAGCAACAGGGGAGTGGGAGGAGGAGAAGGGGAGAGAAGGTACAGAGAATAAGTAGCATAGATGGTAAGTAGAAAATAGGGGGAGGGCAAGAATAGTAGGGGAAATATAGAATCTAAAGAACTTGTGACACATGGACAAACTAAAGGGGGGGAGGGAGGGGGTGTGCAGAGTGGAGGGGAATGAAGGGGGTGAAATGGAACAACTGTAATGGCATAATCAACAAAATATAATTTTTTTAAAAAAGAAAACTAGCTAATATAGCTAATGAGTACAACTAAGAAGTAAATACAGAGATAAGCTTATTAACAGGCAAGTGAAAGAAAAGTAACCAGGGGTGTCCAAAGTTTTGGTGTCTCTGGACCACACCATAAGAGTTGTCCTGGGCCACACATTAAATACACAAATAGTAACGAGAACTCATGAGCAAATAATGGTTTTAAGTAAATTTAAGATTTTTTATTGGGCCACATTCACAGCCATCCTTGGCTGCACACTACCCACCGGTTAGACACCTCTGAATGATTAATTATTTCATCTAATAACAATGCCTAAAGGATTTTAAAAAGGCACTCAAGATGCTTACAACCTATAGAAAAGGCAAATGTAAGGGGCAACACAAGTGCTATTTCAAAGCATTGGATTCACAAAGTCTGGGCTTGAATGCTGGTTCTGCCATTTCTAGCAATGTGAGGATAGACAAGTTATTTAGTTTGTCAAAATCAATTTCCTTCTGCAAAAAATGAGAATAGTAACTATTTCAAAGGTGAGCTATATAAGAATTAAACACAGGACCTGGTACACAGTGAACACTCAATATAAAAACTGTATTCAAGTTTCTTTAGTGGTGTTATACATAAATCCATGAAGGAACATCTTCCTAGGAGAAGGCCTCAAGGAGAAAATAATACTTCAGCTGAGATCTAAAAGATAAATAAGTTTGCCAGGAAAACAAGTTGGTAGGAAGGCATTCCAGGCAGAAGATTAACAGCATGTACAAAAACTCTGCAGAATGAAAGACAGCGTGTTCTATGAGTGGCACAGAGTATCAGCAGGGTACACAGGAGAAAATGTCATTAGATATGGCTGAAGAGAAGAGACTCAATTAGTAAGAACACTGAATGCTATGACAGAGTTTAGATTTTTAAGTGAAAGAGAACCACCAAATAATTCTGAAAGTGATGTCACTTTTAAAACTGTGTGTTTAAAAGAAGGCAGTAGAAGAGTATATATTGAAAGCTGGGAGACCAATTAGAAGGTGAATGTTCAGGCGAGAGATGATAAAGTCCTGTGGTGTGGTAGCCTCTATTAAATAAATTATCTTAATAGTATATTTTATGTGCCTTAAAAATTAGGTAATAATGTAAACTTCAACAGTATCTTCAGTAATACTTTTTACTCTTGAAGCCAATATGTCGGATGCTATTTGGAGTGAATTTCATACATTATTTCATTGAATTCTCACAATTCTGCAAAATGAATGTTAATTTCTCCATTTGATAAGATAGTGTTTTGTCAGTTTTACAGATGAATCAACTTGGGTTCAAACAAGGGAGATAAAGTTTCCTGAGATCAACATGACTAAAGACCCACGAATGGAGCCCAAGTTTTCTAACACCAAAAGGCTCTAACTCATTACATATCTCATCTAGTACCAATAAATAAATTTGTTTAATGGTTAACATCAGGTTAGGTTTAGAGTAAATAATTAAATGCAGTGATCTTGAGAACTCCATGATTCGATTTATATTTTTACAAACAGCACATTCTGATGAAAATGGCAAGGAATTTTTGGAAACTGCTCATCATTGGTGAGTTTTTTCCATCAAATTATAAATCTCTCATTAACAAAATAAATCTGTATTAGTTTTCTATTGCTTTGCAATAAAATACTACAAATTTAGCATATTAAAACAATACCCATTTACTGTCTCACAGTTTCTGTGGGTCAGAAGTCCTATACAGTCTCGCAAGGATTTGAAAGGGCTAAAACCCACTTCCAAACTTATTCAGATTGTTGGTGGAATTCATTTCCTTCTGATGTTTTCCATATGACCCTCCACTTTCAAGCTGGCTAGTGTGGTGAGT